ACTTGGAAGGCTGAGGCGGAAGGATCGCCAGAGCCCAGCAGGTTGACACTGGGGTGGCTGCGAGCATGCCACTGCACTCCAACCTGGGTGACGGAGTGAGACTCCAACTCAAAAAAAAGTCTCAGCCTTCTTTACAGGGTCAGAGCCCCCCTCACCCTGTGGCCCCAAGGAGTCCCATGGGCTTCCTGGCCACACCAGCCTTGACGCGTGGGCCTCCCCGTGGAACCTGACCACTGCTCTGACCCCTCCCTACAGCGCCGCCATCTCCCTCGGGGCAGCTCACACCTGCCACTCTGTTGCCCACACCCTGTCCTTTGCCCTTGCCACCCGACGGCCGGCTCTGGGGCAGGGCTATGCCTCCTGCTTCCCTCTCAGACACACACAAGCGTGAGCGCACACACGCAGAGACAGGCACAGCACCGTCAACGTGCAACTTGGAACGAGTGGATTTCTCCAAGCACACAGCTCGGGAGTGCTGCCTCGGTGGGTCCGGGCTCCGTCACGCACGGGGGGGGTGGCGGCTGGGGTCTCAGGCCTCCACAGGCTAGCCACAAGTTCATCCCCCGGGACCCCGGCCCCAGGCCTGCCCTGCTCAGTCAGGGCCCGCGTGCTGAGCGGCGCCGGGCTTTGGGGGCTGGGCCCTCACTCCCGCCCCGAGGCGCCCGCCAGTACCGGCCTCCAGCTGCCTCCAGTTGAGGTCCTTGAAGAGGGGCTGGACGCGGAGCCCGTCGCAGCTGTCGTCGCGGAAGCCCAGGCGCTTCTCGGGGTCCTTCTCCAGCAGCGCCTCGCAGAAGGCCTTGCTGGCCTGGCTGAACGTCTCGGGGAACTTGACGCTCTCGGACAGGATGCGCTGCTTCAGCTCCTTGTTCTCCACCTGTGCGGGTGGACGGACGCCAGGTTGCTGCCGCCACCCCGTGCCCCAGGAGGAGGGACGATGGCGGGAGCTGGGGACATTCCAGGGGGGGACGAGCAGCTCGCTAGGGCTTCACCCCCGTCCTGAAAGCACCTGCCTTGCTCCCCTGGGAGCCGAGTGGAGGTTGGGATAGGCCGGGCACCCGCCCACCCCTATGGCCTCCTCAGCTTCCCAGGAAGGGCCTCACATAGGCTGGACCCTCCGAGCCCGCACGGCGGCAAATCCTCAGGTGGGAGTGTGCTCACCCTGCCCGCTCCAGGCACGAGGATGGCCGTGCCACTCCCAGCAGCGCCTCCCCCAGTCTCAGGGCTGGGACACCACCCACTGAGACAGAAGAGGCTCTGCCTGGAGCCAGGGCCAGGCCCCACAGCGAGCCAGTGCCCCTCTCTGGCCCCGCAGAAGAGCCCCTGCCACCGTGGTCTGCCCGGGACACAGGCTGCGCTGCCCGCCCGCTGGGGGAGCATGGGGGCCTCAGCCTCGAGAGAGACAAGAGCACGTGGACCGCCGCCTACCTTCTCTCCTCGGGCCCGGAAGGGTCCCCTGGCAGCAATCATCTCAAACAGGGTGACTCCCAAGGCGAAGTAGTCCACGGAGAAGTCGTACTCCTCGCCTCGCAGGAGCTCTGGGGCCATGAAACCTGCCAAGCACAAGATGTGAGGGGCCAGGGTGCGACTTCCCGTGGCCCAGCCCCCCGGGGCCGCAGCGCCGATGCCCCACGATGCACTGTGTGAGGTCCCGGCACTCCACACAGAGTCCTCCGTGGTGGCGTTGCCTGGGTGTCACGGGACGTGAGTGGCATCCCGGGCCCTGCCCCCGGGGCCAAAGCCTCCCCCAGCTGTGACCAGTGAAGGGGCCCCAGGCACAGCCCAGTGTCCCCGGGAGTGAGAACCCTTGCCTGCATGCGTGGTACAGGGTCTCACGTTCCCTGGCCGGCACCCTAGCCTCAGGGGAGGTGGACGAACACGCTGGGACAGGCACAGGGTGCAGGGTGTGGCAGGGCAGGAAGGCATGCAGGTGGCTCCTTGGTCCCTTGCTCAAGCCCAGGCAGCCCACCTCGGTGGAGGATGTCCCAGGACCCTGTTTGGGGCTGAGCGTGAGGCACGTGTGCCTGGGCTGCACGCCATCTGCCTGGAGACTGTTCCACCTGACGTGGGTTTCTCAGCACCCACGACTGCACTCACTGCGACTGACACCCACTCCTGTGCCCACCGAGTGCCAGGGCAGACATCTAGTCCTCGTTCTTACGAGGCGTGAGTGCCGTTGCTCAGAGGGCGAAGCTGAGACCCTGCAGGCTTGGTGAGCTGCTTGAGATGGCACCGGTGGCCGGTGACAGTAGGGACTCCAACCGGGCCCCACAGCACCCACCTGGAGCAGCCACCCACAGCTGCCCTTGGGCTTGGTAGTCAGACCCTTCCTGAGCCACCTGTGGTCTTTCCACCACCCCATTGTGGTTTGCGTGAAAGTCTCCTGGGCACGTGGAGAACCAGACAATTCTACAAGGCCGTCTCCCCACGCCTCCTCCTCACCCGCTCCCTTTCCGCAATTCTCAGCTGAGCATTTAGAACCTCTAACGGCTCGCTTCTCTTGCTAGCATGATGTACACTCGCCAGGGCCTCCTCGACCTCCCATCCTGGAGGCCACCTGTCCCCCTACTCTCACCCGCACACACACATATGACCTTGTCTCTCCCCAGACACCGCTGGGTGGGCAGCATTTAACCCAGTGCCGACCCTAGCTGAGAAAAAAACTGAGGAGTTGTGTTTCCTTTCCAACCTATTTTTTGATTTTCCCAGATTGCATTAATAGTCTTTGCTTCCCATTTGCTTCGTTTTCTTTGTACTTATTGCCATTTCAACCCTACATTCTCTGGTGATGCTCTAATCCCCTGTTGTGTTCTGATTTGTGAACTATTTGATCAGTTTCATCCTCATGACAGAGGCTTCTGGGACCTTCTTCGCTGCTGTAATCTAGACTCAGGTGTGGGACTAGCGGCCCCGAACCTCCATGTCCTCCTGAAGCCCTCTGCCCCTCTCTCTCTCTGTCCTTGTTCCTGGATGCTCTGCCTTTTGCCTCTTGTTCTGGTCAAGTGGTTTCCTGGTAAAGAGTGCTGAGGAAGGGCAATTCCAAGAACTTCCATGTCTGGAAAAGACTAGACCTTAGTATTTAGCAGTTAGCTTGGCTGGGTATAAAATTCTAGGTTGGGAATCGCTTTCTCTCTGGATTTGGAAGGTGTTTTCCATCGTCTTCCCCAAACCCACTCTGTCTCCTGATCCTCTGTGTGAAACTTCTTGTCCCTCCTAGACACTCATGGTGTCTCCCTTGTCCTAAGGTTGCACCGTGATGTGCGTGGGTGAGGTTCTGTTTCCATCCCTTGTGCAGAATGTTTTCAGTATGGGAGCTCATGTCAGGCATGCTGGGGGATTTCAGTGATGTGCCTTCCTCTCCAGGAATGCTGTTTTCTCTTTGAAATGACTGTTGTTCAAATGTTGGGCTTTCTGGCCAGTATTCTAATTTTCTTGTGTTTTCTCTCCTATTTTCCATCTTTTTGTACTTTGAGCTTCTTCTGGGATAAATCCAAACTTATCTTTCAAATTTTCTCTTGGGTGTCTCACTTCATCCATATTTTTCTGTTTTCCAGAGCTCTGTAAATGTCCATTTTTTGTAGCATCCTGTTCCTGCATTGCAAATGCAACGTCTCCTCTGGTTCCTCTGCAGACACTAATGACAGACCAGACTGGTAAAACTCCTTTCCCTCCATGGTCTTGCTCCCGTCATGTTGCTTTTCCCTGTCTGCTCCCAGTTTCCTCAGAGGCTCAGACACCCTTGGTCCTGGCTCCCACTTAAGGCTGGGACACCGCAAGGCTGGCCGAGCGGCCTGCTGACTGGCTGCCCCGTTAGGTTACCTCCCGGACCTCTGTTTGGGGAGACTCCTGCATTGCTGCCTTCTCCTCTTGAGCTGGTTGGGTCATGCAGATGGCCCCTCCACATTCTGTGAGCCAGGCTGGATATGGGCCCCGGGGAGCCTCAGCCACCCATGACCCCTGCCCTCTGGCTCCAGGTGCCTGGTGTGGCCATGCAGGGGAAATAAGACATCCTTTCCAGAGGATGAGCCTCCGTCTTCTGTCTGGGGTCTTGGCTGTGGGAACCCAGCTGCTCTCGCACAATCCCCCTGTGGCCACACCCACCTGCGAGAGGCTGCCAGCGGTACACGGCACGGAAGCATGGCTGCAGGGGGTCTGGCACCAGCTCAGCACATTGCCTCCTCATTCTTGTCTTGGGTGCCCTCACCCGCTGGCCCTCCAGCAGCTGTGATGCCGCGCTACCGTCTCTGCTCCTGCTGTCCCCAGCACATGGGCTTAGGCCTCTGGTGAGATCCCATTGCTGCCTATCCCTGGCCTCCCGATGGAGAGGAAACAGCCCGTGTGGTCCAGCATCAGGTTCGTCCATGAGCACGTGTGATGTGACCTCCAAACGCTTCCCTGCGTCTGTGCACACTCCCGGTCCGCGTCTCTGAGTGCATGCCAGCCAGGCTCGAGGAGGGATGGTGCTGGACACATGGCTGCAGCCGCAATGTCTCGTGAGTAGCAGAGCTCTTTGTGACCACAACTCGAGGCTCACACGGCTGCTTCGGAAACTCACCCAAGACTCCCCTGGAATCACATCAGGCTCGCACCTGCCGGTTTGCCGGTTTCCCACAGTCTCCCCGAGTCCCCCGCACCCTGGAGGAGGCTTCCTGTCACCGGTGGCCTGACCCCAGAGGCCAAGCACTCCAAGCTCCGCCCCGCCGCTCCAGCCTCCTCACTCCTCTCCCGGGCGGAGGAGATGGGTCCAGTGAGGGCTCGTGACGCCAGACTCCCAGGTCGCTCACTGGGCCGGTGCAGGGCCTCACACTCCTTACTGGCCTCTGCCTCAGGCTTGTCTGCAGCGTTTTCCACCTGTTGAGGCTACAGCAGGCCCCTGCCAGGCAGCCCCAGACACTGCCACCTCCCACGGCCCCGGTGGGCCACATCGCCTCTGTTGGCCCCCTCCAGGGAGCCCCCAGGTCACAATCACTGTCAGAGCATCCCTCTCTTTGTGAGGAATCTTCTCCTAGGGTGGATGCAGACTCCCTGTCGCCTCTGCTGCCTCCGTGGGCCAGCCTCACACCCACCTGACAGATCTGGGCCACCTCTGTGCCCCACAGGCCCTCCAGGCCACCACGATCCCACAAGGATGATGACACTGCGGCCCTGAGGGCCCGGGCCCAGCAGCCCACTCAAGCCGCACACCCATGGTGGGTACTCATGCCCGGCTTCCAGATGAGGATGTGCGGCCACTTGCCCAGGCCACATGCCACGGGCCGCATCCTGGGTGCTGTTTGCCACGCTCTAGACAAGAGAGGCACACTCACGGCAGGTCCTTGGTGGACGTCTGCTCCTGGGGAGTCAGGCCCCAGGGGTCGTTCAGGCACCAGTCTGCCATGCCCCAAGCCAGTTTTGCGTGGCCATGGGGGGGGTCATGCGAGCTGTCAATACCCGTGGCACCAGCTCCGGGCCTCCCACCCCCGACGGCCCCCTGAGTGAGGGCCGGTCTGGCCCACGCGGTGAACACACCAGTTTCTAAGGTCCATGACTGGCTCCCGGGACCAGGAGGAGGCACCGAGGGCCAGGCATGGGGCTTCTGTGCCAGATCAGTTTCAATGTTTTGAGTGAAGGTCCTTCCTGGTCAAGCCGACGTGACCACAGGATCAAGGTTCCCGGAAGAGTGGCAGGAATCAAACTCTGCAGAACCTTGTGCCCTGGACGTCCCTTCCTGGTTCTGCATGACCAGCGATTCTCTTGTTGTCCAGACTTCTGCTCAGACTCCATGAGAATCGTGCACGTGGCCACAGCTCCTAGGTTAAAGCCAGAGTCTTCCCACCACTGGAGGATCCAAGAGAAAGGCCACCCCGGGCCACAGGGCACTTTTCCCCTCCTGGGCAAGGAGCCCAGCAGCCCTTCTAGGCAGTTCCACTGGACGCAGCCCAGATGACGTATCCTTTTGCATCCAGGTCTCACGAGGTGCGTACATCTGCGCAGGTGGCGATAAGCGTTTACTGATGAGAGAGAGTTCTGTCTTCATCCACTCACAAGTCCTCTGAGGATCAACTGTCCCCTGCTGGCTGGGAAGTGGTGGGTGCCCCCGCCCATGGCCCGGGCTGGCCTGGCACTAGCAGAAGGGCATCGCCGAACAGAATCCTGTTTGGGGCTCAGAGCACCAGCAGGAGTTCCCGCTACACATTGGCAGGCCCGGCTGGGAGTGAGCAGGACAGGGAAGAAGTATCCGGAAGGAAGCTCCGCTGGGCTCGTGCCGGCCTCCAAACATCTGCCCTGACCTCGGCACCTCAGAAGCTGTGTTGGGGTCGCAGCCAGAGCCTGTCCAGCAGCACGGGCCAAGGGCCATGCAGATGTCCCTGGAGAAACGCCTTCGTGGGGGGGCTAGGTCCTGTGGGGGCTCAGAGAAGCCAGCCGTCGGGGCCACGGGGCCCCTGGTGGCCACCTGGCCGCACAGTCAAGCCCAGAGGGGGCCGCTGCCATCCTCCTCGAGGCTCACGGGCGCGTTGCCCTGCGAGGCGCAAGTGCCCTTTTGCCTCGCGTGTGCCTCCGACTTGGTGAGGGTGTGGAAACTCCGGTGACGTGGTGTCTGCCCCCTCTGCAGACACACGGCAGGGCACGGATCCCCTGGTGAGAACGAGGCAGACAGAGGCTCTGTCGAGCTGGCATCTGCTCCAGGACGGGCTGCCTTCCAGAAAGTGATCAGACCTGCCACGGCGGGGCACCTGCCCGAAGCCCTAAGTGCCCGCGGCTGCCGACCCCACACCAGCCACGCCTGCAGGAGGCAGCACGGCTGTGAGAGGGGCTGTGGACATGTCCTTCTCCGACCCCGCCTGGGGACGGGCATGGACAGAGCCTGCACAACCGCAGCACGGGGCAGCAGTTCCCCCGACCCCCGAGGGGGAGGAATTGCTCCGAGAAGACAAAAGGAAGCCTGGACCCACGGAGCCTTCGGGAGCATGGACAGGAGGCGGGGCGGGGCGGGACACACGGGCAGCCACTCCACGCGGGCGCCAGGAGCAGCCATGCGTTGACCCCCCACGGGCCTGTGTGGCGCAGGTCGGCACAGAGGCCAGAGGCTAAGGACACCAAGGTCACAGCCACAGGCAGGCCTGGAGGGTGGACCCTGCTCTGCCTCACCCGGAGGGCTCTTCCCTCCTCCACGTGCCACTTCTCCTGCCAGGAAGGGGGCAAGGAGAGGGACAAGGGGCGGGGAGGCCGGATACGCTGTGCGTGTGCACCCACGAGGGCATGCAGACACACGTGTGCACTCACACAAACACCCAGGAGTGCACACACACACAGATGTGCACACACAGACAGGTTAGCTCACTCACGCACAGACACATGCATGCTCACTCACACAGAGACATGAGACACATGCGTGTGCACTCACACACAGGTGCACTCACACAAGCACTTGTGTGCACACAGAGACGCATGTGTGCACTCCCACAAACACAAGTGCTTGCACTTACAGACGCAGGCACACACGTGCACTCACACAGAGACAGACACACGTGTGTGCTCTCACAGAAGCGCGGGCATACACACACTTGTCTATATACGTGCCTCTGCCTGTACATACACATACAGATCACACCACACTACACACGCCTCTGTACACACCACACAGACACATGCATTCACAGAGACATGCATGCACAAGATGCACATAGATAAACGTGTGTACTTAGGCCCACAATGCACAGATGTGCACAGCGGCCTGCGAACCCTTGTGGGCACACACGCCTAATGCCCAGACACAGGTGCATGCACACAGAAACACACCTGCACACACAAGGCACACATGCATGCACACCCTACATAAATGCAGACATAGCACACACACATGCACACACACAGGCTGTGCATGCACGGAGACACACATGTGCACACACACGCAAGCCCACACATGCACGTGGTCAAACGCACTGTGCGTTGCGGATGCCTGCAAGGGTCTCATTGAAGTGGAGCAGTGCCCGGGGGCAGGCCCCGCCCAGAGCCCTGTGCCACAACCCCTGTCACAGACACTCCTGCTCCAGCCTCACACTCAGGCTGCTGAATGACCCACCCTGCAGGTGCCCAGAGAACCCGTGGCCCCCCAAGGCACAGGGGGACAGCCTTGACCCACAGGGCCCGGTGTGTCGCGCCCAGAGCCAGAGCAGTGTGTGCAGCTAGAGGGCTGTCTCCACGGAAGTCACAGATCCCGGGACGCTGGGTGAGTCCCCGGTGGCCAAGGGGCGCCGAGTACTCTGGGGGAGGCAGGGCTGTGCCTCTACCCTGCCCTGGAGATTCAGGACTGTGGAGACCCTTGCCGCCCACCCTAGACTGTGGAGACCCCAGGCCGCGGCAACCCTGGGCCACACATCATGGGCCGTGGAGACCCCTTGTCACCCACCCCAGGTCAGGGAGACCACAGACTGTGGAGACCAAGCCACCCACCTGTGGCCGTGAAGACCCTGTGCCACCTCCAGCCCTGGAGGGAGGCGGAGCCACACAGCCCACACTCAGGCCTACCTGGGGTCCCCGCGTAGCCCTTGGTCTTGGTCTGCCCATCTGGCAGCTCCACTGCCAGCCCCAGGTCGGAGATCCGGACATTGCCTGCGAACAATGGGCCTAGTCACGTGCGGCTCGGATGAGGCCGGGAGGGGAGAGGGCCCGGGGCGGGACCGAGCCACCCACCGCACAAACACACGTGCACACATGCGCCTGGGGGCCGCGAGCCCCGCACCACAGGCCAAATCCCCAGCCACATGCACGTGCTCACACCATACGCCATACCACACCCCACACATTGAACACACCACACATCACAGATCGTGCCACACACCACAGAGTCCACCACACACACAACACACACTACAGATCACACCACACCGAACACACCTCGCCGTACGCCACACACACACACCACATACACACGCCACACCACACACACCCTCCCTGGCAGACCGCAGTGGGGCAGGGTGTGGAGAGCCCGGGAGGGCCGTGCCTGCAGGTGGGGGGAGGCGCAGTCCTCCCAGACCCCTCCCTGGGGCACCCTCCCTCCCTCCGAGCGTCTGCCTGACCGGACATTGGGGGCCTCAAGCCTCATGTCCGCCATCTGAGGAGAATCCCTGAGTGGTCCCAGCCGGGCGGGAAGAAAGTGTGGTGACGAGGCCTGGCCGCCAGGACCAGCTGTGTGGATGGCTGGGCTCTCCACGGAACCGTCGGGGGACACGGCACCGGCTCTGTGGCTCCAGGCGTCTGGGGCACCCCAGCCTCCTCCACGTGCCCAAGGCTGCGACCGGGCGCCCCCGATGCCGCCGCCCCTGGATGGTAGCGGGCATGCCCCCCTCACCGTCATTGTCCAGCAGCACGTTCTCGGGCTTGAGGTCGCGGTACACAATGCGCTTCTGGTGCAAGTGCTCCAGGCCGCAGATGATCTGAGCCGTGTAGTAGATGGCGCGAGGCTCCGGGAAGCCGGGGTTCTCCTCATCCACGTTGTAGATGTGGTACCTGGCGGACGCAGCAGGGCAAGCACAGGTGAGCAGGCAGCAGGCCGCGGAAGGGAGGCAGCTCGAGGCCACGGCTGGGGCCGGCGGTGGGGCTGTTCGGGGCTCGCCTCGGCGTGCATCCAGGGAGACCCCAGGCCGCCATGCTGGAGGCCTCAGAACACACGGACCCTCCCCAGCCGCCCAGGGCGACGCGGGCCCTCACACCAGCTCCCGGTCCCTCCCTGTCCTGGCCACAGATACAGAAACCGCTGCCTCGCAACGCCACGGACGGGGGAGGGGCAGGGGGTCTGGACGTGCTGCCTGGGCTCCCCACGGAACCGTCGGGGGCCGTCGAGACACGGGCTCCCTCGCCCCGCCTTGGGCGCACTCCCTGGTGGGCTCGGCTGCAAGGCTTCTCTCCCCAGCCTCTCTCCTCCCCTAGACAATGTCCTTTCTCGTGTTTTCCAGAGAAGTAGAAGCTCACTGGTCAAAGGAATGTCACTGGCTAATAAAAACAGGAGACCACCAGGGAGGGGGTGCAGACCAGGAGACCACAGGAAAGTCATATGGCAGCCAGAACTCAGTGGGAAGGGTGGCCGGTGACACGGCCACTCCACGCCCTCCCCTGCCTCTGCCTGGGATCCCACAGGGTCACGTGTTCAGTCTCACGCCTCATCTGGAAAGTGGCCAGCCAGTCTCAGCGGGAGGAATCCCGTACGGACGGGGCCAGTGCCTTGGCCACAGCAGCCACGGCTGCCTCCCGGGCCTCCTCACCCGTGCCTGGCACGACCGCTCCGTGCAAACACCCAGGGACCTAGGTGTTCACGCCCATCTCGCCGAGCAGGACACGGAGGCAAAAAGCGGCTCAGCTACCCGACCAGCAGGGGGTCTTTGCTGCTCTGAGGCCTGTGAGCTGATCCCCAGGAGCCCAGGCCTCCCCTGGAGGGAGGGCAAGTCCAGGCCTGGGACGAGGCTGGCAAGCAGAGCCTCCTCTCCCGGGCGATGCGAGGCCGTGGCCGCCATGCTGGACACGGGGCACAGCCCCAGGCATGGGCTTGGCCGAGTCTGCCTTCACGTGCCCGCCCTTCTCGTGGAGGCCCTCAGCCCCGCCCAGGCTCTCCCCCCGCCGCACCGCTCACAGCGTCATGCACGTCCACACCCGCACAAGGGCCTGACGGCGGGCACGCCCCCAACACGGGACGGGGCCCGTCATTCACACGCCACACATACTGCAGATCACATGACACACCACACACACACACACACACACACACACACACACACACAGCACACCAACTCCTGAGGGCGAGGGGGTCTGGATGGGCACGAGGCCCTGGGGCCCGGAGACGCCAGCCGGCTCGGACGGCCAGGCCCCGCTCCCCACCCGGGCTTGCCTGATGTCGCCTCCGTTCATGATGGTCATCACCAGGCAGAGCTCGGCTTTGGTCTCAAACGCGTAGGCCAGAGACACGATGAACCTGCTGTGCACCTTGGCCAGGATCCTCTTCTCCACCATGGCGCCCTGCGGAGGGAGCGGAGGCCTGGGTGACCGGCACCCGCCGGAAGGGACGACGCACGGCACGCGGCGCCAAGCCTGCTGCCCGCACATGGCGAGCGGAAGCCAGGCGGCCGGCACGGCTCAAACGCAGCCCATCTCAGACATCCAAAACGCAACCGCCAATCACGGGAGCACGCCCGGAGTCCGCTTCACGGACAGAAAACCTGGTCGGCAAACCCCTTCAGGCCGCCAGGTCAGCCTGGGTAAGGAAGCGCCGACGTCCAGGCTGAAGACCATCCACAGGGACGGCGCTGCCCTCAGCCTCGAGGCCCCATCCTGCCAGCTCTGCCCCTCCTGTGCAGGCCTCGGGGAGGGCAAGGCACACCTCAGGGCGCTGCTTCGCTTCATCTTTATTTTATTCTATTTTATTTGTATTTTTTGAGTCGGAGTCTCACTCTGTCGCCCAGGCTGGAGTGCAGTGGCACGCTCATGGCTCCCGCAGCCTCGATCTGCTGGGCTCCGGCGATCCTTCTGCCTCAGCCTTCCAGGTAGTTGGAACCTAGGCGCGCATCACCACGCCTGGCTAATCTTTTAATTTACTATAGAGACAAGGTCTCGCCCAGTTGCTCAGGCTGGTCTCTAACCTTGGGCTCAGGCAATCCTCTCACCTCCACCTCCCAAAGTGCTGGGATGACAGGTGTGAGCCACCACACCCAGCTAGTTTTTTTAATTTATTATAGAGGAGGTCTTGCCAAGTTGCTCAGGCTGGTCTCGATCCCCTGGGCTCAGACAATCTTCTCGCCTCCGCCTATCAATATCTCGTGTTTATTTTAAACCCTCCCCCCTCCACGTTCTGCCAAACTCGTTTGTGGAAGGGCCTGGGCAGGCACAGCAGATCCCTCTTTGAAGAAGGGATTATTTTATTTTTGTTGCATTTTTATTATTTTTATTTTGAGAGAAAGGACCTCGCTCTGCCTCCCAGGCTGGAACGCAGCGGTGCAAATACAGCTCACTGTAGCCTCAGCCTCCTGAGTGGCTGGAAAGTGCCCAGCTAACTTCTTTTCTCAGAGATGCGGTCTTGCCAAACTGCCCAGGCTGGTCTCGACCTCCTGGCCTCAAGCGATCCTGGTGCCTCGGCCTCCCAAAGTGCTGGGAAGACAGGTGGGAGCCACCGCACCCGGCCAGGAATGCAGGGGAAGACCCCATCCTTCCTACACCTGCACGGGGCATGTGCTGATCTGATGTCAGACAAAGCTCTGTGAAGGCCCCAAGTCAGGGGCAGAGACCGACTGTTGGATCAAAGTAACAGTCGGACGCAAATGGCATGGTGTGCCAACTCCATATCAGAAAAGCTTTTAAGAATTCACTCTGAGCCAGAGGCGTCGTTACTTCTGCCCATAGTCCCATGACGAGAGCCCCGGATGGCCCAGGCCCCGTCAGCCATCGCCACGGGCCCTGACACTTCTCCGTCCACTAAGGGTCAGGGACTGCCACCGCTGCACCCAGGACTGTGTGTGCCCTGACAAAGCGGGTGCTGGGCAGCCGGACAGGGACCCGGAGCCACAAGACCCAAAGGCAGCCGGGCCGGTCAGGAGACCGCCAAAGATGCCAGGCAGCTTGCACAGATCCCGCCCGGGGTGGGGGCGGGCTGACGTCAGTCGGGCACAGCGGATGGGACCAGCCCTGCGCCTGCAACCGTGTCACCCAAAAGGCGTCTGGCCGCGCGCGGTCCTGCCTCAGGCCCTCCTGCGCTCCCTGCACGGCCCGAGGCCGGCCTGGGGGACGTCTTCCCAGTCAGGGCGAAGCGCCAGAGCCTCCCACCGGCGCCTCCTTCGGACACCTGCCTCGACAGGTGCTGTGAAGAACCACAGACGCCGACGGCGGGGTCCGCCCCCCAACACGTGGAGGCTGCTCTTGGGGGACCTCTGCCCGCCGCCGGGTGACGCCAAGGCGCCCCGGCCTCCGCCCGCCCGAGTGCGGCAGCCGACGGCCGAG